TACTTCTGGTGGATATCCGCCGTAGTGTAGCGGCGGAGGATATCCTTCTGGCGGGTGTCCCATGCCTCGGGTGGTGTGTGTGGCGGCGGGCTTTTCGTCGCCCTTAAACTGAGAGTGAGAGGGGAATTTCTCTGTTTGGTGAAACTGAAGAATTCAATTGCTTTAAATAGAAACTGAGAGTCAACGGCATAAGAAAAGTAAGACTATTAAGTAATGTTGTTTTTTTTAAATAATAATTATACTTAATTGAAATTTATGTTTAATTTAATTATTAATATTAAATAAAATTGAAAGGAATCGGACGACGGAGTCTTTTGTGTTGCGGGCTACCATACCTCTAGATCAGGAGGAGAAAAAATTAATAACCAAAAAAAGTGATCCAGTTAATAATTACTAGGATAAAATACATTTTTAGTCATTGAATTTTAAGATAGATTTCTATTTGATCCCTGTATTTCAAAAAGTGTGATTACTGATCTTTAAGAAATAGTTTTAAAAGATCTATAGAGTTAAAACGGAACGGTGACGTGACGTGATAAATTATATAATAATATTTTTCTATTTTTATCTCTTTTCCTTTTCTTTTCCCTCTCTTCCCTCTCATTTTCCAGAATGTGACCCTTTCTTTCTCCTCTCTTCCTTTTTCTTTCCCCCTCTCTCCCTCTACTTGTGGAGAAATCTTGTTTATTGTGGGGTGAGAAGATAGTAGTAAATCAAAGTGGGTTGATTTTTGTTTTTCCGCTACTTTAATCTAGTAAAAACAGAACTTTCTCTGTGGTCATTCCTCCAACAATTCGTTCAAAAGATCTCGAAGCATAAAATCATTCACATACGTAATGTTGGCATTATGGATGTGAAACTCCAGATCTTGGAACACGCCCATCAATCTCGCCACACAGGTAATTCACAGTCCAACTGCACTCTCACCATGGCGCATTGCCGCAGAGGGTCTTCCCGTCCATCTTGAATGGACCACCGTGCCGCCATTACAACCACCGCCACTGCCGCAGAGGGAAGAGAGACAGAGGAAGAGAGACAGAGGAAGAGAGGGGGAAAGAAGGGTCACGACTGGAAAAGGAGAGAGAAGAGGAAGGGAGAGAAAATGAGATAAAATTATAAAAAATTATCATATAGTTTAAAATTAATAAATATATAATTTACCAGCATCAACAAGAACTTTTAGAACTATTCATCAAATGTCAGAAATCAAACTGTCACTTTTTGAAACACAACGACCAAATAGAAACGTACCTTAAAACTCAGGAACTAAAAATGTATTTTACCAATTTGGTCTAGATTTTACTTATATTTAATTGTGATAATTAAAAAAAAGGGTAAAACAGGATGAAGTTTTAACTCATTGGTATCTATTTGATGTGTGAAGTTTTAAAAGTGACGATATTTGAAAAATAGTTATCAATAATTGCCGACTAATTGAGAAAAAGAAAGAAAGATATGGTATTTATTTGATTGCGCTTGTGACTTGTAAATTAATAGTCAACTTCAAGCAGGAATGTACATTTTTACCGTGGGTCCTATCCTAAATGGGGTGGGGAATATGGGGAAGATTTTTCATCTCTGTCTCTTGCTCTGCCCTTTTAACCCACTAAAAAGTCTTATTACCCCCTTAATATATATATATATATATAGGAGGACTAAATTATGTAAATGAAATTTCGTCATTGAAAATTAAACAATTAATAACAATTTTCTTGAAAAATTTTATTTAATTAAGAAATCATTTTTAAAAAATAAAAAATAAACAGAAACCTCCACCCAATCCACACATAAGAAATTAAATGGGAGGCGGGAATGGAGACGGAGAAACCTTTCTAGTCCCCTCCACGTAAACGTCCCTTGACTTTTTATCATCAACTCAATTGCTACATCAAAGAGAAAAATTAAATAAAATTGTAGCTCTAAATTTATGGCGCAATTGAAACTTTATAAAGCCTAAATACATATCATTAGAGTAAATTTACTATTTAATTTAAAATTTTATAGAAACAATTTAACAGAAACGAGTGGCTAGTGAGGTTGTTGTTAAAACACAAATAAAAATGTTATGTGTTCGGTCTTTAATATTTATATATGCATGCCTTATCCATCGTGCCTCCAAGTCTAAATTACTTTATTAACAAAAAATTCCCACCAAACACCAACTTGGATTTGATAATTTAAATTGAAAATGTCAAGGCATTACAATCTTTTCCGATTGGACAAACTCAGAAAATTTAATATTTGAAATGAAATAATTAATATAATGAGAATAAATCAGACAAAAAAAACCTATACATTAAGACAACTTGACTCGACAGAGCGAATAATCAATCTTGGATGCAATGACAGAAAGTCCTGTAGTGAAAGGAAGGACTTTCACTTGGTATAAAAATTGATTCAATGGAGGAGTGATTCTTTCCTTTATATTTTCAATAGAAGACAATTAGGTTTTAGTATTTATGATTTATTTTTAAATAAAATGCTCTGTTTATGCGGGAATTTGCACAACGGTTCTGCACGAATCGAGCTCGAACCCGGTCTCCGGTTCCGACCTGAATACTAGAGTGGACCTGCACAAGAGGGTAAGCACTCCGACGTTTAAGTCAGTATAGATCGGACTCCGTATTTAGCTCGAGGTGAGATTTGATACTTGAGCGTGAAATGAAGCCCTCTATTTATAGGTGACGGATCCGACAGCACACACGACCGACGGTTACATGTCTTTTCTCATGTCGGACCTGTCGGGTTCCAAGCAGATCGAACCCCAATAAGGTTGAACCTTGGTGCCCATACTTAGTCTTTTATAACGGGCGAACCCGGTCTCCTCGGCGGGGCCGAGGTGGACCTAATCAATCCTTTTTTTATTTGGTTTCTTCAAATACTAATAAGGGTCCTCCACGTGTCTTGGGTATGTTTACCCCCAAACATGCTCCATCACATAATTGATGTGAAGAACATACATCAAAACGAGGCTACCTCTGGTCGGAAGAGAAAAAAAACCCAATATAACATTTGAGATTAGAGACGTTACAAATAATAAACAAAAAACTATACATTAAAATGATTTGACTCTCTATGAATAATCAATTCATCCAATATTATGGATAAACAAAAGTTCGATTGTGCTTTACTGTACTTAATGCTTTAATTTATGTCTTATTGTGTCAGCCTAACATTATTTTGGCCCAAAAAAATTTCCACCAACATCAGATCTGAATTGGAATATTATTTTACATGGAAAATGTTAGCAATGTAAGAGATTGTTTACTTTCATGATTGTGAACTTCAAATCCAAGATGTTGATGCTGGAAATTTGGCCTCCTTGGTTCTTGTCAAATGTGCATCAAACTCGATAATCACGGGATCGGATACCTGCAAAATCGAATAACCCTAATCCGGTGTGACTTCGGTTACACTGACTCCAATGCTTAAGTCAGCGATGGGAGGATTACTAAGTAAAGTACTTAGGGTTTATTTGCTTACCTCTAGGGTTCAGCTAGTGGTTCCATTTATAGGAGTCTCGCATTCTGGAATCTTCTCGTTGATCCCATCTGTTCGTC